TTTGTGTTTGCATGCGTGTTTATTTTAGTTTGCGTTTTATTTTTTTGTGTTTGCATTTGTTTTTTGTGTTTGCATCTTTCTTGTGTTTGCGTGTGTTTTTGTGTTTGCGTGCGTTTTTTGTTTGTGTTTGCAAATGATTTTTTTGTGTTTGTTTTTTGTGTTTGCATTTTGTTTGTGTTTGCGTGTTTTTGAGTTTGCATCATATATGCGTTTGTTGCGCGTTTCGCCGTTTGCCGCACGTTTGCACCTGTCGGCCACCGTAGGTCGGCCACCGTACAAAACAAAAAGGAAATTAGGTTTCCATTTTTTTGCAACAAAAGAACAAATATGAGACCAATAACACCAGATACAAATAACACCTTTGTCTCAATAGCTTTGTTAAGCGATTGAAAAGAGATAGTTAAATGATGAATGATTTATTTAAAATAAATTAAAAAGGTCTTAAAGTACCTTGTAGACTTTATCAATATTCAGTGGATATGTGTTGTTGTGTTGTTGTTATACATAAACTTAGCCAGAAGGGGCAGCAACAGTAACGCATCTGCTTTACCATATCAGAGCAGTAGAAGAAGAAGTTATACCGGAAGTGGTACCGAGGTGCTAATAGGTAGGCAGGCTGTCTATCGGACATTGAATGTGAAAGCACTGGTTTCGACTTGAAAAAGATGAAATTTCTGCCTAAACTGCTGCTGCTCGTCCTCTTATCTTTCCCGGCGACTATCTTTCTAAAAGGTAAGCATGGAAACGGCCGCACGTGAAGTTTATGCCGCTAACGAAGCTTAGCATGCTAGCCTTAGCAGCGGAGCTAACAAGCTGCTGCGTAGAAGGCCGAGTTGTAACATGTGACAACTAAAAACATGTTTGTTTTAAAAACGAAACGCGTTAATATATAAACTCACCAGTCCGACATCTAAACCTTAAGGTTTTAATTTCGTCTTAGCTTATTTTCTTTATATGTGTGTTTTTTTTAGCTGAAATGAATCAATTAAGTTTCCTGGTTAGACTGACGTGTCCTTGTTTGTTAGCTGTTAGCTTAGAAGTTACAACGATAATACAATCTCGCTGTCAGGTATTATTTACACGAAGGTATAATTTGTACAGGATGCTGTCCTGCAGAAATCAGTTCAAGCCTTATAAAATGTGGATTAAGTAGAAAAAGTTAGCCTAGTTAGCTCTGTTAGCTTCAGCTCACTGATTTTTAGATCAGGATTTTTTGTGGATTATTAGTTTTTTAGACGCTAATACATGAGCATGCATCAGGATAGTTTTTTAGATGCCTCACAGGAAGTTAAATCTTTTTATTTGTTGATCTGAATGGCTTCTGTTGTTCACTGACTGTTGGAGTACAGATATTTTTAAATATATTACTCTGTAACATGTTTTAACAGTTTATTTACCCTAATCAGAGCTTCTTAAACACATTGAAAAGTATTGATTTTACTTTGTTTTTGCATGTTTGATTGTGTGTTTCCAGATTTTAAACCCTCTTCAATATTTTAAAGAAACAAAAATTGACTTTCTAAAATTAATTCAGGCATTTCGGATACGATTTTCTTTTTAAAATTGGGATATTCTGAATAATTTCTACTTTTAGCACCTTATGTTGACGCTGGATGGGAACATTAAACATGTTTTAATGTCTGAAAACAAAAGATTTTTGTCAGTTTTATTTAACTCTGAACCAAACACTTTCTCTCTGAGCTTTGATAGTAAAATTAAAATGGGTGCATTAAAAATTATCAGCCTGTGTAATAAATGGCTGTAATTATCCCCACTAAGTTAAAACAAATAGTAGTAATGATGTCATATGTGAGGGGGAGGTCTGGACTGAGGGGATTTAGTCCAGCATCCTGATGGTGAAGCTGTTCATGTTGTGGAGCAGGTCTAGAGGTTCTGGTACCCTTAATCACTGAAAAATCACATCATGTTGCTGATCTATTTCATGTCGTTGTGTTCATCCGTACTCATCTGCTCACACACTCATGTTCGTGCAACTGTTCGGTGTATTGTTTTTTTTATGCTACTAGTGCTTAGTGTATTTTTATTAACGTTTTTCTTAGTTCATATCTTAGATCTTATTACTGTTTTTTTTTTTTACATTTTAATACTTTTGTTGGGTGTAACTGTGACACTGTGTACACGATTACGTTCCACCACATGTACCACGTGGTGGAATGACAAATAAAGACCCTTGAACCGTTAAAGATGGAAGGATGAGATGCAGGATGAGGAGTCTCAGGAAAAGCAGAGGGGCTTCAATGGTCCTGCTGAATAAATTTACCCTCCTGCAGTATTTTAAGATTATTATTATTTTATTAGATCTTAAGACCGTTTGTGGTCTGAGTTGCCCTTCGTTAGACCTGGTTTCACCTCTTGCGCCTCAGATATTCTGGAAAAACTCTCCTGATTGGACCTGAAGTTAAAACCAGAACCAGGTGACGCATCTCACCTGTGAACCTGAAATCAACTTGGTGTTGATCGGTCTGGTTCTTAGTTAAAATATTTCTTCACACAATTTTTTAAGTTTTATCTTTTACTTCTTTCGGCTGCTCCCTTCTTCAGGGGTTGCCGCATTAAACTAAGTTGCACGAAGACGTGGCAATTATTTTTACACTGGATGCCCTTCCTGACGCAACCACAGACCACTGAGCTACCACAGCCCTCAGTGTAGAGCAGAGAGCTGACATCTAGGGCACCCAGGGGCTGGGTGATATCGCAATATTTTAAAAATATTGAAATGATTTCATTTGCGATATGAGACTTATCAATATAAACGATATAGTGTTATACTTGGAAATCCGCCTGCTGCCTTCTTTCTCCCATACGGCAACTCCTCCCCCAGCTTCCTGCTCCAGGTGGAGCGGCACCGCTGGCGCATATATCACAGAGCAGGAATAAAAATAATGGCTCTGTTATTTGGAGATGGTTCGGATTTAATTTGTCAGATGAACAGCAGAAAAATGTTTTCTGTAGACATTGTCGAAAACCTGTCCCGACGAAAGGTTCGAGCGCAAATGATGATGCATGAAGGCAGGTGTGGGTGCTTCATTGTCCCCATCTACATTTTGATGTTGTCTGTACCGGGAGTTGAACTGTCGATCTTCCAATCACAGACCCACCTTCTCTAACCTCTGCACCACCACGCCCTTAATTATTATTATTTTAATGTGTTTATTAATCTTTAGCCTTTAGAATCCTTTTATGATGCGTATATTTAATATTTTTAACCCTCTGTCTGTTGTAAATTGTCCTGTTTGTTGTTTATTTGTTTTTCTTTTGTGGTACGCAACATTGTATTTAAGGTGTTGCCTTTTTTTTCTAAATAAAGTTTGTTTTGGTGCAGGATCGGCAGTGAGTGCCCAGGACCTGACTGAGGATGAGGAGGCTGTGGATGAAGATGTCGTGGACGACGTGACGGCTGAAGACGAGGACGATGGCGTTGAGGTGGAAGACGATGAGAACACAGAGCTGGTGAGTGGGTGAGCGAGCCCGTTGTGGTTAAAAACTGTACCGAGCAGATCTGGAGGTAAAAGTTGTTTTTGTTTTCAGACAGAGGAGAAGGATGAAGAGGAGGAGGCGCTGGTCGGGGAGATGAAGGCTTCACCCAACGCCGACACCACCATCCTGTTCGTTAAAGGAGAAGGTGACTTTCTGCCCGTTCTCCATCGAACCTGAACGTCTGCACCTTAAACCCACCTCTCTCCATCTTTGGTTTTGTTCAGACTTTCCCGCCAATGACATCGTCAAGTTCCTGCTGGGCTTCACCAACAAGGGTGACGAGAACTTTGTGGTGGACTCTCTGGATGCCTCGTTCCGGTACCCCCAGGTGAGGAAGGAGAACCGATCTGAACCAAACGCGTGGTGTCCGCATATCCTCAAAGTCCTAAAACTTCTTAAATTAATTTAAAAACAAGTAAGTTGGTCTTAAATATGTCACTCAAAGGTCTTAAAATTTGTCAGAGCTGTAGAGATGCAAATGTCTGCACAGCTGGACGTCGTCTTCGTGTCTGAAGACAGAACTGGACATTAAGACGCAGTCGAGCCTCGTGTCATGGATGTCTTCAGAAGACGTCTGTCTCTGTTGGATGTTTCCAACCAAATAACTACACTTGTGCAGCTGCTGAAGCAGAGAGAACATCACTTTTTATTCAGTAAACCTGAACGTGTCTCACCGAGTGACACGCTGTGTTTGGTTTGAACGCAGCACGATCCCCCGACCGTCGTCTGTATTTATAGGTTTTAGTTTTACATTTCAATTCAGGATGGTCTTAAAAAGTTCAATTTGACTCCCTGAATCCTGCTGATACCCTGAAACGGTCGGGTCCTTCATCTCTGACCTCTTCCTCCCGTCAGGATTATCAGTTCTACATCCAAAACTTCACGGCTCTGCAGCTCAGCACCGTGGTTCCTCCCGGCAGGCAGGCCACCTTTGAGTACTCCTTCATCCCCGCTGAGCCCATGGGGGGGCGGCCGTTTGGACTCGTCATCAACCTGAACTACAAGGACAACAGCGTGAGGACCTGAGACGTTAAATCTGCCGGACCCGGTTCTGAGGGGAGGCTCTAACCCGGTTCTGTTTGGACGCTTTGCAGGGGAACATTTTCCAGGACGCCGTGTTCAACCAGACCGTCACCATCACGGAGAAGGAGGACGGGCTGGACGGTGAAACGTGAGGACTTGAGCTCCTGAACCTGCTGTTGGTCACGTCTCTGCTCGTCTCATTTCTTCTTCTCCTCCTCTTCCTCAGCATCTTCATGTACGTCTTCCTGTCGGGCCTCGGTTTGCTCGTCATCGTTGGCCTTCATCAGCTGCTGGAGTCCAGAAAGGTTCGACTGATTTATCCTCTGAAACTAAGAGACGTTCTCAGGATAAAAAAAAAAAACAAAGCTGCATTAGATCAAACAAAACAGATTTATTTTAATTAACAAATTAATTAATTATCAAATTAATTAATTATCTGCCTTTAATGCAAACTGGAAAGAAGTCATAAAAAAAATCTCCCAACAAACAGGAGCAGAACAAATAAATTTCCTTGACAGGACTGATGCATGATGGGAGTTGGAGTTTTATTACAGCAATTTAAAAAAAAACTTTAAATGTGTTTAAAGTAATTAATAAAAGAAGCAATAAATTAACAAGCATACAATTTTAACACATTCAACCTTCCTGCTGCCCTTGGGTCAAAATGCCCCAGGCCTTGTGGAACATTATGACCCAAGGGCAGCAGGAGGGTTAATATTTTTTGTAAATCTGCAGAAACTTAAGTTTCTTCATCAAAGAAATCCTGAAAATGTTTTAATCAGGTGTTTCCTTGGATGAATGCATATCGCCCGCCACCTTTCTTGCCACTCTGTCTGTTGGGGATGAATCTCAGTTACTACCACACAAAGCTTTACCTCAACATCTGTAACACCGACTGAGTCGAAGCTGTTTTGGTTTAATGGTGATTAGCTGTGCCGGCCATCTTGAATCAGGTTAATTCCATCAGTTAATCTGTTGTAGACATGATTACTTCCTGAAGGGTCAGGAGATATTTCACTAACAGACATGATGGTGGGTGATGAAGCTCCTTAAAGTTCCAGACTGATTTGTGGAGGGAAATATACTGAAGAAGTGTTTTATTAATGTTTTTATGTAATTTTATTAAAAATAAAGGTGAAATTTTAAACGGTAAGGATCAAGAGTGAACTAAGAGATGGTGTTAATCTGTCTGATTATTCTTTAGGGCAGACTTCTGAAACAAGTCGTGTTTTTACGTCTTTTATCTTCTGAAAGCACATTTTTAAACTTGAGATCTAAATAAATGTTAGTAAAATTTGAAGCGTTTCTGTAAAACGCTCTGACTTCAGGATCAGTTTTTGACAGGAAGTTGTTTCTCTGCAGAGGCGGCGTCCGGCTCAGAAGGTGGAGACGGGAACCTCGAGCCACAACGACGTGGACATGAGCTGGATCCCTCAGGAGACGCTCAACCAGATCAGTACGTCCTCCCGTCTTGAACCCAGACTCTGTAAATGTTTCTGTCCGGGCAGAATCTCGACCACAGAAAGGATCAGAGCGTGTTTAAACCGTTCACTCCGTCGTCTCACTTCCTGCTCACCTGTTTCAGAATGACCTTTAACCTTCACTGTGCATGAGGATGACTCACCTTGTTTCTGTTTGTTTTTTCTTGCTCTCATGCTTTCCTGCGTCTTCAGTGCAGAGTCGCAGAGGTGAGGTCTGCTTCTCCTCCTGGTTTCTGTCTTTCTGCTCTTTGCTTCTGAACTTTGAGTGTTGACGAGTTTCCCACACATCAAGCATCCGACGAGCCAGATGTTCTGATGTTCAGAACCAGTCTAGAACAAAATGCTTTAGATTTTGGTCAGATGTCAGATTAATTCAACATTTCAGCCTGATGTGAGAAATAAGCAACTTTTAATGTCTGAATTCAGTTCTAAGGGCCCACTTATGGGAGCTTTGGGTCCACAGAAGACCACTTCAGCCTTTTTAAATGCATCCATCAGGTCCAGCTTCAGACTTCGTTTTCCTTACCCAGCGGAGAATCGCAGGTGACGAGACGGGCTGCGATTGGTCCAAAAGGTACTCTCAGGTTGATGAGACGGGGTGTGATTGGTCCTAAGGGACTCTCAGGTGATGAGACGGGCTGTGATTGGTCCAAAAGGGACTTAGGTGACATGACAGGCTACGATTGGGCCAAAGGGACTCTCAGGTGATGAGACATGCTGTGATTGGTCCTATGTGAATCTCAGGTGAAGACGTGCTGTGATTGGTACAAAAGGGACTCTCAGATGACGAGACGGGCTGTGATTGGTTCAAAGGGACTCTCAGGTGACGAG